CCGAGACAGCTCAGCTCAGTTACAGACCTTGTGTCTGGAGATTACAATTTACTTATACATACCTGCAGCCATGATATTATTATTATTAATGTTTACTTTAGTATGAGTTTCTGCGGAGCACAGTAGCTTTTGTGCTCACGCTCCCACTTTATAATGTTTTTAGGTGACAGGGTCGGTCCGGAGGAGTGAGCGGAGCAAGTGGTTGTTGGTCCAGTAAATATGTTTTTGCAGACTTGTGATATGTATATTATTTACTGTTTTGACTTCCACTGACATTTTCAGACTTTCCATCTGGCATGCTAGTCTAAGATTTTGATCCGAACCTTCGGGTTGGATTTATACAGTATGACATATTAATAAAGGATAATCCGTTTTTCCAAATAAGTTCAGTAACTAAGTCAACGAATTTTCAGAAAAGTAATGTATTATCAGTAGCATCCCAAATCATGTTTTCGCAAACTAATACGTGTTTTCTTGAAAGGAATTTGCGAAAATCGCACTCTGATTTTAATAAACTAGTGGGGTGTTACAAATGGTATCAGAGCACGTTTTTGTATATCTGAATACTTTATTAAGTCAGAAATTTTTCAAAAGACCCGACCACGCTACGCTCACGCCTCGCCGACTACAGGTAAGTGCTGAGTTACAGTTTATATATTTAAACGAATGTTTTAGTCTATGCTCAGTAGAGGGTATCAAATATTTAACCCTAGAAACCAGTAAAATGCCCGAGTTAATGATCAAGTATGTTTAAAGTATAAGTCGATTGTCCCAGTTATTTGATATTTCGACTTTAGTTTTCTCGGGTTAATGTTAGCAACTCGTCAAGAGATCTGTGCGCATTAATAAGCAGTTTATCATGGTTGCATCTAATTATGTTGATATTTTCAATACTCAGATGCCGCCTCGTAGAGAACCAGTTCAACAGGAGCTCCCTCAGGCCACAGTAGTCGCACACTTCTGCGACTACCATCCAGAAATGTTTTCCGGCCAAGGAGATCCTCGTATAGTCGACGAATGGGTTCAGGGCCTTGAAATGATTTTCGAGGTCATGGACTGTCCTGACCATTATCGGGTCATATGCGCACAAATCCAGCTGACCGGTGATGCCCGACTCTGGTGGAATGCACATTGGAGTATGCGTCCCGGCGAGAAAGAAGGTTGTACATGGGACCAATTCAAGGAGTTGATCCGCGGGAAGTACTATCCTTCGTACTACCGAGCAGATATGGAGCGCCCGGTCCTGGCACTCAGACAGGGTATTCGTTCTGTCGACAAGTACGAAAGAGAGTTTACTCGACTCGGATCCTTTGTACCCGATCTTGTGAGTACAGAGGAGAAGAGAGCTCTTCGTTTTACCGACGGACTTCTCCTAGCAGTCCGCCACAACATCGTAGGTCACGATGTCCAGACCTACGCCCGCACAGTCCCCATTGCCCAGGAGATAGATGCCAGTATCCGACGAGAAGTTAATCCGACTTTAGCCCAGCCAGTTACTCAGCCCAACGTTGCCCAATCATCATAGAACCAGAAGAAGAGGAAGTTCCAAGGAGGCCCAGATGATCGGAAGAATCGCCGCAAACAGACACCAAACTGCCCGACATGTGGAAAGCGCCACCGTGGAGAATGACTTGTAGGCCAGAACATCTGTTTCTTTTGTCGCCAGCCAGGCCATATCAGTCCCAACTGCCCCGAACGATTGCAACAACAACGACAACCACCTCAGCAACCTCAACAACAGCAGCAACCTCGACAACAGCCACCACGACCCCAACAACAGCAACGCGGCAGACAGCAGGCTTGCGTCTTTGCAGTTGATCAGAGAGAGGCCGACCAGCACTCAGGTACCATGTCTGGGATGATTATTCTTAATGATGTGCCTGTTTATGCCTTATTTGACACCGGAGCAACCCACTCTTTTATATCACACCGATGTCTCGAAGCTATAGGAGTTCATTCTCTTACCACTGTCTATCCTCTCGAGGTGAGTTTAGCCTCGGGACGAAAGATAGTGACTGATGCCAGAGTCACCAATCTCAGCCTTTCCATCGGCGGCCGTATTTTGACTTCTCATGCTTATATTATCGGGATGAGGGACTTTGACCTCATACTCGGTATGGATTGGCTAACACGTTTTCACACAGATATCCGATGTCATGACCGGGAGATTACTCTTTATTTTTCGGGAGATGATCAGATCACTTATTTCGGCTCCAGGACTCGTACTCTGCCCCATATTATTTCTATGGCGAAAGCCAGGAAGATTCTTCGACGGGGTGATTGCCAGGGTTACTTTGTGAGCCTCGTTGGAGATAAGCCAAAAGCACGGTCACCTCATGACATTTCCATTATTTGTGAGTTTGTGGACGTGTTCCCAGATCAGCTTCCGGGTGGTCCACCTAGCCGACAGGTGGAATTTTCTATCGATCTTATCCCTGGAGCCGGACCCATTTCTAAGGCACCATACAAAATGTCACCTAACGAATTACAGGAGTTAAAGACCCAAATCCAAGAGTTGCTGAATCTCGGTTTTATTCGACTGAGCGTTTCACCTTGGGGAGCACCCGTTCTCTTTGTTAAGAAGAAGGACAGATCTATGCGTATGTGTATCGACTACTGGGATCTCAACCGGTTGACGATCAAGAATAAATATCCGCTTCCCAGGATCGATGACTTATTTGACCAGTTGAGGGGTGCCTGCGTGTTTTTTAAGATTGATTTGCGTTCAGGCTACCATCAGCTGAAAATCAAGGAGTCAGAAATACCTAAAACAGTGTTTGGTACGAGATACGGTCATTTCGAGTTTGTGGTTATGCCGTTTGGCCTCAGTAATGCCCCGACAGTATTCATGGACTTGATGAACCGTGTATTCCATCCTTTTCTCGACCAGTTTGTTATTGTATTCATTGATGATATCCTTATCTATTCCAAGAGCCAGAAAGAGCATGAGGAGCATCTGAGGTCCGTTCTTGCGACCCTTAGACGACAGAAGTTGTACGCAAAGTTTTCCAAGTGCGAATTTTGGCTTCAGCGAGAGGCTTTTCTTAGCCACATTATCACTCAAGCAGGTATTGAAGTAGATCCTTCCAAAATTGCCGCAGTGCAGAACTGGTCAGCACCGAAGAATCTGTCCGAGGTTTGTAGTTTCCTCGGCCTTGCAGGTTATTATTGCAGATTTATTGAGTGGTTCTCGAAGATTGCCCTCCCTTTGTCCCAGTTGACGAGGAAGTCTGAGACATTCGAATGGACAGATCGTTGTGAGTCGAGTTTTCAGGAGCTGAAAAGGAGACTTATGACGGCACCAGTGCTGACTATGCCCGATCCTTCTCGGAGTTTCACCATCTATAGTGATGCTTCGAAGCGAGGTTTGGGGTGTGTACTTATGCAGGATGGCCAGGTTGTAGCATATGCTTCACGTCAGTTGAAGCCCCATGAGTAGAATTATCCTACACACGACCTGGAGTTAGCTGCAGTGGTACATGCACTTAAGATATGGCGGCATTATCTTTATGGTGGTCGATGTGAGATCTACACCGATCACAAGAGTCTGCAGTATATTTTCACGCAAAAGGAGCTCAACATGCGTCAAAGACGTTGGTTGGAGCTAGTTAAAGATTATGACTGCACGATTCAGTATCATCCGGGGAAAGCAAATGTTGTAGCTGATTCCTTGAGCCGAAAGGTAAAAGGCGAATTATCTTGTTCTATTACTCGGCAGCGTTATCTTATTCAAGACTTTGCCCGGATGCAGATTCAAGTCGTCGAGTCGCTTCCTGCAGTGATTACAGGAAGTGTAGCTCGATGCAAATTTAGCCTACGTTGAGAGACAGAATCCGACAAGAACAGACTCATGATCAGTTTATACGTGCTATTGAGGCTAAGGTTTCCGCCGGAGGAGTCGAGGGTTTTTCTCGAGGCGCAGATGGCGCCTTAGAGTTCCGAGGCAGGATAGTAGTGCCAAAGGTTGAGGCCTTGCAGAAGGAGATCTTGACAGAGGCACACACCGCGCCTTATCTAGCACACCCCGGTAGCACCAAGATGTATCATGACCTGAAAGGGTCTTTCTAGTGGAGGGGAATGAAAAAAGATGTTGCCAATTTCGTAAGAAAGTGTTTGGTCTGTCAGCAGGTTAAGGCCGAACATAAGAGCCCCTTAGGCCTTCTACGACCACTTGAGATTCCAAAGTGGAAGTGGGAGGAGATTTCGATGGATTTCGTTACAGGGCTGCCCAAGTCGTCCGCTCACCACGATGTAATATGGGTAATAGTGGACCGATTGATAAAAGTGACACATTTCCTACCTGTATCGATGACCATGTCAATGGAGAAGTTAGCCGAGATTTATACCCGTGGGATCGTTCGACTCCACGGAGTGCCCGTCCACATTGTGTCAGATCGAGATTCCAGATTCACCAGCAGATTCTGGAAGAGTTTACATGAGGCGATGGGCACGCAGTTACAGTTCAGTTCAGCTTACCATCCAGAGACAGATGGTCAGATAGAAAGAATTATTCAGATGCTCGAGGATATGCTCAGATTGTTGATGTTAGACAGAGGTGCTAAATGGGAGTCGATTTTATCGTTAGTTGAGTTCGCTTATAACAACAGTTATCAGGCGTCGATTTGAATGGCTCCTTTCGAGGCACTATACGGGCGTAAATGCCGCTCGCCCCTTTATTGGGACGATGTAGGCGAACGTCGAGTACTCGGTCCGAAAATGATCGAGGAGACAGCTGAGCAAGTCGAGCTTATCAAACAGAGGCTTAAAACAGCGCAAAGTCGGCAGAAGTCATCGACCGACAAGCATAGACGTGACATTCAGTTCAAAGTCAGAGAACGACCTTTTCTCAGAGTTAGCCCAATTCGCGGAGTTATTCGATTTGGAAAGAGAGGGAAGTTACACCCTCGGTTCATAGGCCCGTTCGAAGTTCTCGAGCGAGTGGGCGAAGTTGCGTATCGATTAGCCTTACCTCCTGAGTTATCCAGTGTTCATAATGTCTTTCATGTATCTATGTTGCGTAAATACGTGTGCGATCCTGATCGTGTTATTCCGCATACCGATGTTCAGATCAATCCCTATTTGTCTTATGAGGAGCGACCGGTAGCTGTATTGGACCGACAGGTTCGACGACTCTGGAAGCGTAATGTTCCCCTTATTCGCATTCAGTGGGATCGCCACGGAGCTACTTGGGAGCAAGAGGCAGATATCCGCGCTCGTTTTCCTGATTTCCAGTCTTGATGTATATACTTTTCTTGTATCATGTATATATGTTCAGCTGTATATTTCCGGGGATGGAAATATTTTAAGGGGGGTAGATTGTAATAACCCAGTTTCTTGTTAATAAAAGTGATGTATTTCCTTTTATTATTCTCGTTCATTTTCAGCAAATAAGTTCGACTTTAAGTCGAAAAGTCTATTCGTTTAATTATTAACCAAGTTAAGTTGATAATTAATTTATTTTATGAACGGACATGATTAATCGGGATTAATTATTGAAAGTTAAGAATGTTCGGATGTAATTTCAAAGTCAAATCATGTTAAGTCATGAATGTACACAAGGTACACTCATGCACGTATGTCATGCGTGCAATTGCGCACGCGAACGCACACAGCGCGCATCGCCGCGCATAGCGCATGTTCGCATCATTAGGCCGCTAAGCGCGCACTTAGGCAATGCTTAGCAACATGATCAAGCCAAATTCCCTCCCTAAGATTACCGTGTGGGAAAGTCTAAAGATAAATGTTGGGTGTGCAAGTGGGGTGATGAGTCACCTAGTAGCTTGCACACATGGCACAACACGCACGCACGGGCGATGACTAAGCCCGTGCATGCTTGACACCTCGGCGATGACTAAGCCTAAAATGCCACACCTCAGCACTTGGCCGAGACACATGGCAGCAAGTGAAAAATCATCATACATCCTCCCTTTGACCGAGTTTTACCCTCGGTTTTATCCCTTTAAATAACCGAGCGGGTGGAACATTATTCCCCATGCATTTTCACGCAAGAACAAGCCAAACTTCAGCCAAAAATCTGAGGGAAAATAGTGAGAAAAATATTTTAGAAAAATAGTACAAAAATAGCTAAGGAAAGACGAAGCAAAGGAGAAGCAAGTACGCACGCACACAAGCACCGGTTACGTACGCACATCGCCGTGCACTCTTCGACCGAACTGAAGGGTATACATTTCTTACCCTCTTTTTATGTAGTTAAGTTCATGTTAACAAGATCATGTCGAAGTCATGTTGTTCGGTCCAAAGTTTTAGTAAAAATGGCCTCGGAGGTGCTATTTAAGCCCTC